TTCCCTTTTGTGATCTCACTGCTGTTTATGCAACCCACATATAGATATCTGGATAGAAACTAACCCTTTGCTATTACCAGTAATGCTACAATGACTAAACCTATATTGGTGAACTTCTACAAGCAGAAGAGCTAAGTCAAAGAGTAGCTGTCTTGGTACCTTAGTAACTATTGTTAAATTGCTCCTCATAGGGATTGTACTACTTTGCAAGTCCACAGTAAGGTGGGATAGCGCCTACTTCCCTACAACTTTAACAACAGAGAGTATCATTAAACTTTCGGATATTCATCAATCTGATAGCAAAGAAATAATACCTTGCTGTATATTTATTTTTCATTTATCTTATTGTAAGTGAGGTTGAACATAATTTTATCTATTTAGAGTAATTTATATTTTTTCTGTCAATTATCTGTTTTTGTTCATTGTCCATTTTCCCACGGGGTTTTTATTCTCTTAAAATCAAATTCTAAAAGCTCTTTACGTATTAGGTTATAGCCCTTTGTTTGAGATGAGTTGCACACATTTTTCTCACTTTGTCACTGAAAGAAAATTTTAATTAATACCAAGTGCCAGCCCGGCTGGGCGTGGCTCAGCAGTTGAGCATTGAGCTAGGATCCAGGCAATCGGGTTCGATTCCTGGTCAGGGCACATGCCCGGGTTGTGGGCTCAATCAATGACTCATCATTGATGTTTCTATCTCTCTCCCTCTCCTTTCCTCTCCCTGAAATCAATAAAGATATATTAAAAAAAAACACACAAAGAACCAAGTGCCAGATATTGACATATATCCTTCACCATACATTGTTAATTCATTCAAATAACAATTAAGTATCAAATACTACACTAGGTAATGAGCATACAAAGATTAAAAACATATCATCTAAATCCATCTTGTAAGGCAAGTGGTTGCGGGCTCAGTTCCTAGTCAGGGGTGTGTGGGGGGCAGCCAATCAATGACAATTCTCTCTTTCTCTCTCCCTCTCCCTTCCTCTCTCTGAAATCATTAAAGATATATATATATATATATATAAAGAATTTGGCTTTAAAAAAGGCAAATACAGAAATAATTACATTAATATGACAAGTGCTTTAATAAAGGTATATGTGTAAATACTGTGAAATCAGAAAAGACAACACAACTATCTCAGCTTACAGTGGAAAGCTTTATAATGAAAACATTAGATTTGAGCTTTCAAGGACATTACCATAAAGAAAAGGTTAGGGATAGGCATTTCAAATATCAACAAGTGCAAAGGCATGGAATGGTCATGGTACATTCATGGCTCGATGGCGTGGTTGGTGGGTGCCAAACAGGGTGATGGAATAGAGCAGAGGGAAAAAGTGTTCAAGAATGAAGCTGGTAAAAGGAAACTGGTGTTAGTGAAGGGAGCTGATGCCTGCTGAGGAATCTGGACGTCCATACACGATGGGGAGAAACTACATATTTGAGTATGAAGAGGTATAATCAGACCCATATTTCATAAAAGCCACTCCATTAGGAATATAGAGAATTGATAAGCAGCAGGGAGCCTAGTTTGGTTGTTCCGTGGTAGATTAACCCAGAGAAGATGAGAGAATAGATTTCTTCATCAGAGATTTAACAGGTAAAAAACCCAATAGTATTTGATAACTGATTAGACATGGGAATGTGTGTCAGACAGAAATCTAAGATGACTATGAGATTTTTATCTTGCCTGAGTGGGTGGTGGTGCCGTTATACTGTTGCATGGGTGTAGATGTAAACAAAGCTGACTCCATCCTTGTGTGGCCCTGATGTCTTTCTAGTTTACATAATATGAACCCTGACCTAACTAGTCTCAGCCAGCACCAAAGCCTCCTAGTTAATGACTACCTGTGTCCTGTAAGCTTACACAATGTAGTCTTAAAGATTCTTGTCAGTAAAGGCCAGAATGGCATAGCAAATGAGATAAATATCAAACTAGGTGCTGGCATCAACTGTAAGCAATTATCCATTGTAAGACCAGGAGGAGGTGGGGCTCCTGGCTTGTACGGCATTCTCTGTCTCTCTGTCTTGTCAGTCATTAGTAGTTCAGCTATACTATAAAACATTTACTGTAACAACTGTCTAGCAGCAGAGAATAATCTATACAGAGTGCTAGTTTGTCTGTCTGCGCCAACCAAATCTTCCTGTAAGTAAATTACCCTACAATAAATTGTTATAATTAAGAGTTGCTGGCTTCATTCTTCAGTCTTGATACACCTTTTTGTGAGGGTGGACACTGTACCTTCACTCCACCATCCGACACATGGAAACGGGGACTATTGGGAGAGCTAGTAGATTGGGTTCAGTAGGGATAGGGAGTGTGTGAGGCAGTGAGGAGATCAGCTTAGGTGACCTCGGCTACTAGACATGAGCAATAGAAGACATGCAAATATGAATCTGAAGTTCAACAGTGATCCCAGTAGTTGAAGTTGAAGCCATAAGGAGTACAGACTGTCAAGGGAGACAGTGTAGCAGGGGAAGTATACTAAGTAATTAATTACCAGGAAATAGAAACATTAAAGAAGAACCTAACAATTGAAAAGGATATTGCTACCCCACTAAAGGCTGGTTAAGAGTTGACGGACTAACCTGCATGCTACCTACAATGGCACAGAGCCCCAATTCAATGTAGAACCTGAGATAGTACAATGCAGTCCAAAATAACTCAAACACTAACCAAGAATCTTCTTTATTCAGTATTTAATATCAGAAGTAAAAACTTTCACAAGATCTCAATCTTTAACTTTAAAAACTCTTTAATATTGCTTTTTTCTGAAGATCATGCTAATTGTATTTATTTGTGTATTCTCTGCATATAACTACTGTTACAGCAAACTCAATTTTGCAGACCTCAATTTAACAGATTTTGCATATAATGGACAAAATTTCTGGTCTGTATGCCATATGTGAAAATTAACAAACACCCTGTTAATTTTGAAATGCTTTTAACCAAGATTTGCTTATAATTAACAGGTTATTTTTTGTTATTAATTCACTGTTATTTTTAACAAATTTTAGTGAATAGACCATATGTTGGAAAAAACACTGTAGTAATTTCATCAATATAAATAAATATTACATATCTACAACTACAGTCTACAGATTTAAATGCGAAAGTCACTGCTTGTAAACAATGTTCAGGAATGATGAGCCCATGATCACACCGCACTGTGTGTGGTAACGGGTTCGTTGTCCTGTGGAGTGACTTTCTGCAGCGGTTTTAATGACTGCTGGCCAATGTTCCCAGTGGGTTAAGCTCCGCCCCTGCCTGTGCATTTGTTTACTTGCGGTGACTGGTGAATGCGCGTGTTTACTAGACCTATTCAGTAAAAACTTAAAATTACAGTAACACATATAGAAAACTTTTCTGTGAAATCAAACTTTTCATACATACTTAATTTTATTTACATAAATGTGTCTACGTAAGTAGAAACAGGTAAACTAAGTAATTTGTCCATTTTTTAACATATGCATTCAGAAAACCTACTTTATTACATAAGGGGCTTCTGACTTTAACGGACACCCCCTCGCTTGAATTAGTTTGTTATATTGAGGTTTTACTGTACGGTAAACCAGTGCCTGGAAGGGAGGAAGAAATGTACCTCAGTCAATCTACAGGCAGTTTTCAGAATTTTGGTTTCAATTCATTCTATTTGTTGAATGTAGTAAGTAGGTGTTTATGAATATACTGCTGTAATTTCTGACATCTAACATAAAATCTTTTGAAGTCAATAGCAGTATGATTGGAAAACTGGCACTCGATTTTGAAGTTTAGATTCAACCCACATCTATAAACTGGTGAGTTTTAGAGACTAAGAGCATAGTTTTGGGGCATCATCTGATACATAGAAAGTAGTCAATTAATAGGAGCTGTTATTATTACTGTAATGGGATCCAAGGTGAGTCAAAACTACCTTAACCTAATGCAAAAAAGGGTGCCATTTGACTTTTCTTTGAAAAATAATAGCTAAACACTGGTAATAGAAATATCAATATTTGTTATATACTAGGTATTGTAAATATTAACTAATTGAACCCTTTGAAAAAACCCCAAGAGTTAGGTACTAATATATTCTTATTTTACAGATGAAGTTGGGCACAGAAAATTCAAAACTTGCCCAGGGCCATCGAGTAAATAAATGCTGGAGCTTGGATTAAAACACATGACGTTTGGTTGCAAAACTCACTGCCTTTAACCAAGTTCTACTGCTTCTTCCTCACTCTCAACTTTTTAGCTCTTTAATTTTTTAAATTATCAGTGACTCCACAGGCTCATATAATTTTGCATATAATTTTAAGGGGCTGAACTCAGGGGCTCCACAAACCTTAAGTTAAGACCCCTGCCAGAAATAGAAGCTTATAGTAAATATGACTTACCTTTGCAAAAACAAAGAAACCATTTCTTAAAACATAGTTATTAACAAAACGCAATTAGGCTTAGAATGGCTGAGTCTACAATTACCTTTTTGCTTTACCTTAAAAGTATAGTTAGCAGCTAACACTTACAAAGTATTATTTAAAGCACTTTTTATGTATTCCTTTGCTTAATTCTTGTAACCCAAGATCTCATAGCCACAGTGTTATTTAAAGCTCTGTTCACTACTCCATTGCTTAATTATTGCAACCCATTTCTTAATTCTGTAACCCCCATTTTACAGATGGGGAAACTAAGATCAGGAGTATTAAATAACTTGTTCAGCAACAACAGTAACAAGTACCGCTAGGATGCGTACTCCAGAGCTGCTCACTTAGCGACCAGGGTGTCACCCGGGCAAATGCAGCCCCGAGCATCCCAGGTCACTCACAACACGGACGCACGGAAAAGCGCTCTGAAGATCCGGCCCCGTACTAGTATCGGGGGCACTTATCACTGCAAAGTTAGGGGGCGAAAAGGAAGGTGATGTGAAGGCAGGGAAGGCACCGGGTCCTGACTAAAAACCCCACTACCACAGACTTTCCGCTTTGGAAACTATCTAGGAACCACCTCCAGACTTACACTCGGACACGGCGCTAGGAAGACGCGACTTTCCTCCCGGGCGCTAAGCTGAGGGGCGCGGCCCTTCTCTCCTAAGCGTCCCGGAGCCGGGACTGTCGCCCCGCCCGTTTCCGTGCAGTAATGCGCTGGCACTGCCCTGGCCAGTCAGCGGTCAGACGATGGCTTGTTCTTTAGTCTAATTCCTTTGCCCCTTAAAAAACAAACGAAAAAACGTCCCCGATGGAAAGAGAGAAGCCCGTTCACAGTAAAGCATCGGTGTTCCACGGGGAGGCGTCCCCTGGGTGCGAGGTCCGCAGCAGCCAACAAAGCACGCTCCACTTCCTCCACGCACCCCGCGAGCGCTCTCCCCGCGTCCCGGCCGCCTGGCGCCCCGAACACCTGCCGCCGGGCAGCGCTCCGCC